GCATTCCCTGGTTACTTCAGATATTGTCCGTATTTTCGCACTCGTGCAGTGTTTGAACAGGCTGAACTCGTTCTTCTGCCGTACAATTATGTCAGTGCCTTCGACGCCGACATAACATTGAACGGAAAGGGAATATTGTTATTTTTGATGAAGCGCACAATTTGGTGAGTCTTCCCCTTGTGCTGTAGCTAATCGAATTTTGGAGGAGAGAGGCGCGCTTATGCCTTCCTGAAGCTGTTTTCAGGAATCGGTATGTGAGGAATCGGCATCGGTGTCATTCTCAACAACGCAGCTTTCGGGCTGCATCCGAGAAGCAAAAAAAGCCTTGGAGATGGTCGTGAATGATGAAGAAATTCGAACACGAATGGTATGTTACAGTGATATAATATTAACAAAAAAAAGAAACATTAATAGCAATGGCAAAATTGAAATGATAACAATAACTATGCATAAAAACATATAACAGCAACGATGTATAATATATATATACATATATATATATGTATATATATATATATGGTTGACTTTTATATATATAGTATAGATGACTTTTTTGGTACACACATACATAAATGTATATATTACTTGAATACTTGAGCAACTGTATGTTATCGACGTCCGTTGTCACGCCGTCGATGCAGCTGGCAACTTCTCCATTCGATTCGTTGTTGCGTTTTCTGGGTCCACACGATACCCTACAGGCGTACCATGGTGTCTCTCCACTTTACTGATAGCCTCCTCAGTGTTCGCTTAACTGTGCGCGAATACCATCCCATTATCCGTTTCGTCCATCTATTGACTAACATCCGTGCCGCTTGACCAGCCCATCTTCTCTTTCTGGCGTACATTGGTTCAGTAATATCTTTTTACGCCAGATCTAGCTCGTAGCACTTCACTTGGAATGTGCTGTAGCCTGTTGGCGCCAATCATTCGCCGCTCCATTGCTGCTTGAGAGACAGCTAGTTTCCGTTCCTCAGGTGTTCCACATCTCACACTCATAATAACATGGTTGGTATGGCGGTAGAATTGTAAGCTGTTGCTTATACATATATGTGTCAATAAAAAACTCGATATGTATCGGAAATGCATATATATACATATATATATATATATCGGAAAAGTTATCGATGCGGATTTTTTGGAGGAAACCCATATTCTTTATCGTTGACGAGGTAAAGTTGTGTGCCTTAGAGAACCACCGAAATCTCAGTAGGCCGCGAAACAGTC